ATATTACAATTAATTAAGGTATTTATTTGAGATAAAAAAGTCAGTGTCACGAGCGGGATTCGAACCCACGACCTTCGGCTTGATACGCCGCTACTCTACCACTTGAGCTATCGTGACTTCGATCTACTCGGGCACTAACTTCCCATCTCAACCTCATACCTTAGTTAATTGTAATATATTAATTGGTCAAGCGGACCACGAAATTAGTGAATTTGATAGTATTATACTTATGCGCTTTAATTTATCCTTAATGTTTCTTTCTTTATCTGCATTGTTCATCATTAAATTTCTTCACATTATCAGCAATGTTCAACATATTTTTTGATATGGTAGTTGCTATTTTACACTCTTTTATTCAACAAATTGTTAAGACTGTTGATTAATGCAGCTCAACTTTTTTTATACAAAAAGGTACATTCCTAGTAACAAAAAAATTGTTTTCCCAACAAGAAAAGTTTAACTTTATGTAATATCATTGAGTAAAGCTCTTGAGTCATTAACAAAACAATTAAAATATAAAAGTCTAAATTTAAAATAAATAAGAGAACAATATTTCGTTCAAAAATATTTTTGATAAAAGAAGTTGTGTGATTTTGATACTAAAGGCCACAATAATTAGGGAATATTTATTAAGTAAATTATTCACCCGTTAACAAAATTACGCTGTTAAAATCTCTTCTTATAATAAAATAATAAAGGATTATTAAGAAAGCACAATATTGGAAGGAACGATAAATGATTAAAAATAACTGTGCCCAACCCCAACATTGCTTCTAACTAAGGAGAGATTCATGAATATCTCAAGGCCCCTTTTCTCTGTCACCCATTCCCAAAGTAGTCAATCCTTTTGAAATCACATTGAAATCGCAAGTCACTTGGCTTTGTTTCACCACGTCCCAAATCCTCCGTGAATTCCCTAAAAAAGGCATAATGTTCCTCAGCACCTATACCACACTATACTCCGCACTACACACTTCCCTTTGCATTGGAAATATACAAACATCATCCTTTTCCCTAAACTAGGCAAATTCCAATTATCCTGCTAATCACTAATAGTTTAATTTCTTCAGCCTTCTCTCAGACTACAAATTTGTTTTTTCCTGTCAATACTCCACAGCCCAGCGGATGCTTCGCGTTGTACACCACATATCCTCATCCCTTATAAGAATACTGTATGGGGTCCTTCCTTGGCAAGCGTTCGACAGTTTGTGGCAAAAGGGTCTTCTATACAAACTAAAGAGGACATGGCCACAGGACCTCCTGCACTTGTGTAAAGTTTGGAGAGAAACAATGTTTGCTAACTCTTCTCAAGAATAGTGAATTGTAAATAAGTATGATATTAAATGTTTCTGACATTTTTTCAACGAAGTATCTTCTTCGTTTTCGAAATATTAGCAGTACTTTGGCTTGACATGCCTCTTTAAAGAGCATATCTACAATAAATTGAAATATTGCGCAATTTTTGGGAGTAGTAAGTTCAAAAATCAACAAAGTACAAACCAAGAAATTTTGGTTATGAAAACATTTTTCCTTTTGGCGTTGATATAATTATTTTCCACTTTGAGCTGCAAATGACTTGGTACGACTCTTTGAATAATTTTAATAAAGCAACAGTAACAAGACAGCTCTATTGTTGTGACAGGCAAAATTCACTGAAATTCAAAGAGTCAGAACTGAGCAACAACCAGCTCATAACCCTGCAGTGGGAAAATTCGTTTATGCTATTTTCCAGAAATTGTAGATTTATGGAAGAAATGTCACGTTTATTTGAAAATAGTGTGAACAGAGTTTTGTTGTTCTATAGACTAGAATTTTCTTATTTCATAAAATATTAACGTGACATTTTCTCGCATTGTGAGATTGATAGGTAATAAATTTACATATCAAAAGTGTGTTAAAAGGTGACAATTTCTTTTGTTTAATAGTAATCTTATGAATATTGCATTGCCAATGTGAGTGAAACTCAGCTGTTTACATAGCTCGTAAATTAATCATAAACTTTGGAATATGCAAATTGAGCTCATAACCCGAATTGTAACATTATTATGAAGTATTCATATTCAAGGCAGGGTTCATTGATTTCATAATGGAAATTGTTATGAATGAAATAATCAAATTTCCCTTTGAAGGTTTCAAATGTCTTCATTACCATGCCGTTCTCGTGGCTTCTAACAAAAAATGTTTGCCCTGCTTAATTGTCCCTGTCAGTTTTTTAATAGCTACAAAGAGAGGTTCGAAAAGAATTTTAACTGAGAATGAATTGTACATTAAGCTAATTTAAAATGATTTGTTTTTAATCATCTCGTGCTTGAGGAATAATGAATCACATTCCATTACAACTAGAATCCCCGTTGGGATGGAAAGCCGGAAGCCTCGCTTTTTACTCAGAGGACGAAATACTGGGAAACTTAATTAAATATTAATGGAGAATTCAACATTGCGATTTGAATAGTTCAAATCAAAAGATAAAACAAAATACGTTAGAAGGAAAATAACCTGACTCATAAAAACAAGACACATTAGCAGGTAAAATCGATAACATATATAGACTTGTGTGAAATAATATTTAACCCACATTTTATGCATTGTAACAATTTGTTTATTTTACTATAATAACAGAGAATTAAAAAAAATATGTTGAAAACAACGATACCTTGCTTTGATAATTTTCCTTCTTGAGGGAAAACATTTGACCTGTGTTTCTTTTCGGTTCTGATGTACATATGCAAAGTCAGAATATTCACTAGATTGAGAAGCTCCTGGGAGTTTATATCAACAAATCTTTCATATGTAATTTGCATTCTCTTTTACGAATCGGCCCGGTAGGAATTTTAAATCCTGTAAATATTTGTACGCCCCTGGGCGTTTTTGTAAATATTTATAATCTATCTTTTTCGTCTAACTTCAAAAACGTAATAATTATAACGTCAATAACGATTTTAATTTCTTTAATGAATGGTACATACGGCGGTAACTATTGGGTTGTCCGGAAAATAATGCAGGATTTTGGTATTAAACAAAAAAAAAGAAACTAGTTACTTTAAAGCAATGTTCTTTAATCAAAATNTGACATTCATACAAATGAGTAATCCTGTAAACGTAAACAGAATATTTTATATAGATTTTTTTTAATGAAAACTTAAAATCCTGCATTATTTTCCGGACAACCCAATAATATACCAGCATCATTTCAATTAATTGAACGGAGTTATTTCAATTGTGATGTAAAGGCTTTGAACTAAATAATATTTGACGTTTCATCACGTAGTACAACTACTAGTACAACTGTCAACACAAATGAATGTAATGGGTTTGACTTAAGTACGACGTTTACAGGCAATTTCTTGTAGGAAAAACAGATTTCGATTTCGTTTTTACATTCTCTAATTAAATCTTAACGTTGTTTGAAAAAGGATCGGGTATGAGACCATATAGACAAACGGAAAGCTCTGAATTCTATGCCGACTTTTCGGTCAAATTTATTGCCTCAGTACTCTAAATTACAGAACATTTGACATTAGTATTGATACGACAAATATGAAAAACAGAGAGAATAATTTATATAACATACTCGAATTGAAAATTAGGTAACAGTTGAAAGCATTGTGAGGACGCCCGTTCAAATAGAAGTGTGCATCACATATATGTGATGTCAGAGACAAAGAAAACCAGACATTACACTATTCCAACATTGCTACAAGTATCAACATACTTTTAACTTTTACACCATTTTGGTGGTTGACAAGGAGCTCTATTCTCAAAAAACAGTAGCCTTAATCACAATTACCAATTATATATAAATTTAAATTTACTTGTGTGTTGATTAGTGCCCGTTAGTCGATGATTATTCAGAAATCGTGAGATGCGGTCTGGTGTGATGTAGGTTTCAGAAAAACATTTTGTTTATCGTGCCATCGTTTCGGTCTTTATCGAGATCATCTTCAGGGCCTGGGATTTACAAACATTGTTTAAATTTAACAAATAAATATAGGATGTGGAATAAAGTGAATTTATACAATGCAAAAAATATATTTTTTATATTCAATCAAAGTATTTCTACTCACTCAAAGTGTTTGTTTTCTGCGTAATTGTGCCAATGTTTGTAAATCCCAGGCCGTGAAGATGATCTTAATAAAGATCAAAACGTTGGCACGATAAAAAAAAAGTTTTTCTTAAACCTACATCACACCAGACCGCATCTCTCGATTTCTGTATATATATATATATACAGCATGTGTTATAATTTGGAATAGAGCTGTAGAACATACCTAATTTTGTTATGTCCGTTTTTTGGTTGCGAGAGTGGGCATCTTGTTGGATGTGCAAAATTTCTTTGATCAGTCTTCTGCACAGATTGATTTCCTTGTAAACCACCGAAACGTTGTAAAATCAAAAGTATGTTGATACTTGCGGCAATGTTGGGATAGTGTAGTGCCTGGTTTTTCTTTGTCCCTGACATCACATATATGTGATGGTCACTTCTATTTTGACGTGCGTCCTCTTGCAGTCAACTGCTTTCAACTGTTACTTAATTTAAAATTCGAGTATGTTATATAAATTGTTCTCTCTGTTTTTCATATTTGTTGTACCAATACTAATGTAAAATGTTCTGTAATTTAGAGTCCTGATGAAGGCAATAATTTGGCCAAAAGCTCGACAAAGAATTCAGTGCTTTCCATTTATCTACCTGGCCCCTCACCCCCACTTTTTTTCAATCAACGTTACAATTTGAGAAGACTGATCACAAAATAACTAAATATTAAATCTTAAGCATTTCTTAAATTTAAAGACGTTGATCTATGTTTTAATGGAATTTAAAAATCGAAATTATATTGTATATTTTAGCATAATAACGAAATCACGTTGGCGGTTATTAGGTTTTTAACAGAAACCAACAGATCAAAATAATATAACATTAGTTCAACTAAATAACTTAACCTAACTAAGTTTAAATTTTCTTTAGCTTCATTAAAGGAATAATTGTTTATTTTTAATTACAGACTTTGGCATCAGCGGAGGTGAGCAAGTCGACGATAAGCCTTGCGCATTCAGATACCGTTCCACGGTTGCCCAAACGGGTCATATCACTAGCCCCAACTTTCCCGGATTGTATCCGAGGGACACAGAGTGCCACTACTTCTTTCACGGCTCAACAAACCAAAGATTGCGGCTTACTTTCAACTATTTTGACGTCGAGGGAGTCCACCCGTAAGTAAATTTATGATTTATATTCTTGGATTGACAAAGTTTGCAAGTTGCAATATTATAAATTATGTAAACAATATGTGCTGCACCTTTCGTAATCCGCTGACCAGAGANTAATAATAATAACAATAATAAAAACATTTTTGTTAAAAGGCTGCCTTTTAAACAGTATGTTCAGTAAAAATTGTAGAATTTGGTATGACGCCGGTTCCTCGCGTTTCATTCTATAAATACGTTTCAATTCTACTTTAATAGATCCGTACATTACATTATATTCGGCCTAAAACCCACCAAGACACACGCAAAACATTTCAGCTAGTAAATACTTTCCATCGGAGTCCAGGATTCCTGGTTAGAAAATAAGTTCAACCTCACTAGAGCTTTTCGAAATTTTTTTTGTATTATATTTGTGGGAAAATAGTAATAATTATTTGCTTCATTCTTTGGAAATATGTAAATAGTTATAAATATATCTATGTATCATAAAATTACATATTGTAACCAAAGGTTTCAAAGAAGAACAACTTACAATGCTTGGGAAATTCTTTTGAAAGCAAATTTTTTTTTACCAGGGTTTGCAACAGCAGAGGTCATATCAACCCTCAGGGCGCCGGTGTTTTTGAAAAAAAGCCCGTTTATAAGCATGTCGGGTTCGAATGCAGGGCCGCTGTATTCGAACCCTGGACCTTTAACGATGAACTAGATTATCGACCTGCTGGATACAAGAAGTCTTTTCAGAGGATCTTCGGACCTCTTCCGAAGATCCTCTGAAAAGACTTCCTGGACCTTTACCTTACAGTGGTGAGCGCCGTGTCAACGCCTAAACCGTTGCGGCCACCGACACCCTGAAAAGCAACTTTATATGCAGAAAATCCTGAAATACTTTCAACCAAATAAAAATATCAAAAACACTTTTTTTGTCCTTTGTCTTCTAAACTGGAAACTTAGTAATTTTAACATCCTTTATGAATAAAAACTTAACCATTTTGTTTCCAACGCAGAAATTCGTTTTTGTTCAAAATTGCTTTTTTTCGAGTTTATAATTCCGTCAGCCTAAAAAAGCATATAATGCTGCCAAATAATAATAAAATTTAATAGGTCGAAGGAAATACTGTGGTTATTCGTGATGGTATTATGAATTTTATTTTTTTCGAACTGTTTCAACGTATGTGATAAATGAAAGTATATACGTATCCCATATTTAACGTAGGAGAGTGAACAGAAAATTTCTTATTTGATATAGTTATATAATCAGTAATAAACAGTTTATAAAGAATGTAATTATGCATTTTTTTCTAAAATTAGGCTTAATCATTTAGCTTGTCAGGTCAGTTAGTCGTTGGGAAGAGTGAACGTTCTATTACAATGCTGTAACTCACAGAAAAAGCTGTTAATTCCTACTGTTTAAAGCCTTGCAGAAATAAATCTAATAAATTTTCTTTCTGTCTTTTTTCTCCCCAACTCCGGTGTAATTTATATTGAACTAATATATTTCGCAGTCAGGAGGGTATACTTACGCTGAAATTCAATTCCCAGGTCGTATGACTATGGGATAAATAATGACGTTCATACTCTGAATTATGGATGGTGCATTAATTGAGGAGTAAAAGGGGTGGCACCAGTATCTACATAGCTAAATTGAATATCAGCAACTCTACCCTTCTTGGCAATGATACCTCCGTGGTCTATGCTATCGACTGGCAGTAAACATTGTCTTTAATATAATCTAATGTAATATATATTGAATATATGAGAATATGTAATTACTTCATAATATATCTTTTCGTATTTTGCATTATCGAGTGAAAATGTAACGAAATGTCACAAACATTAAAAAAGAAGAAACATTTTACTCATTTCGTCTCAAAGTTACGAGTTCTCAACGTTATCTTTGCGTTTTCATCGAAGTATTAGTTACATTTGTCTATCCAGGTTTTTTATAATAATTGTTTTTTTGTAAATATAACCACCACTAATTTTTAATTTAAAAAATGGTCTTCCGTATTTTCATTTTTTTAGTGCAAAACCATTTTCCCGAGCGTAATTTTATTTGATTTGAGTTATTTATTTGACGTATTCCTGTAGTTAATCGGTTTACCGAAAAAGATTTTAGTTTCCATTCAATGCAAAGTTATGTCTCTTGGGTTATAAAAAAGTTTACTAAAAAAACCAGCCTTAGGTTATCATTGTTGGTGAATGAAAAAACAACTGCTATTAAAGTTATCAAAATGTCATTTTTGTGGCGAAGAATTATATTACTTTAATCAGATCTCGTTGCGTGTCAATTTTCAATTTAGGATCGAATTGCTTATTACGTTAAGAAAAAAACCTTTGCTTTCTTAGTTTCACTTTCTTAAATATATGTTTATAATGGAATAAGAAATTAACTCTATATTAATGTTTATTTATTTTTTGTCCGTTGTTCCCATTTGCTACTCTTTACTTTAAAATTTATCTGATTTTCTCCGTGGTTATAAACCTATAGTGGGGTCATTTCCGGTCTTTTTGGTCTCTTTCATTTTCATTTGGCAGTTATTTCGACTGTCCCCATTTGTCTTGTGGTCTTGATCTTCCACAGAAACGATAGTGAAGCCAGAATGATAGCAAACGACCAAACTGCAAAATTACTTAATTGTTAACCAAAGAAAATCTTTGTTGATATTACATTTTCTTCACGATTAGGTATTAAAAAAATTACTTATTTGGAAAAAGCTAATATGTCTCGCATTATTTGCTTTAACCTCAGAATTTTATTTAAAAGACACAGTTTTTTAAATATTTCTTAAACAGGTATTCACGAGGGAATTCTATCGCTATACTTATGTTTTATTATCTACCTCGCTGCTATAGAATCTATGCCCAATGAGATTTTTTTATGTTTTTGAAAGCAAAAAGTCTAAATTTATTCTAACATTTTTTCCTAACGCAAGGCACGTTGCCACCAGAGCGTCCCTAGACGCTGTAAATAAACAATGTTAGCCTGATACGGTTTTCTCAGGTGCTGGATTTTGCACCCTTTTAAAAATTTACAAAATTTTTTATGTATTTAGTAAGATGAGGTTTTTCTGAAACTGAGAAAACATCGTGTCATATTAATAGGCATAATAATTTAAAAACTTTATAAGTATTGAAAACATGAATAACTTTCTAACAACTCATTGCTATTTAAAAATGCCACTTTTTTGTAACGAAAATGCTTGCTGAAATGCCTAGAAACAAAAATGAAAATATACAAAAATTCGATTGTAAATAGAGAAAGTAAAAGTAACAAACAAATGACTAATTATACAAAGAAAATGACTCAAAATAACAAACCATAAAAATGTTAAAAACTTATAACACAAATTATGTAAGTAACGAAAGATCCAACAAAAATTTAAACACAAGAATATAACAATTTATTTTATTGAAAAACAATCATTACAATAATTGTCAATACAATCAACACAGATATGTTGTGAAAATCTTATAATGTCTTATAAAATCTTAAATTCCATTCACCAGTCATTCATAAAAACTCATTAAAGCTACAAAAAGCATTTTCAGTCAGGTAATTTTCGGTTTTGTTTGTAATAGTTTTTCAGATAGTTTTTTAAATATTTTATTGCATCAGTTTAATTTAATTACACGCAATACATGCAGTTTCACACATCTCAGGTACAATATTATTATAATTTCTAAGGAAATATATTTACAGTAATATATAATATATAAGATAATACATAAAATAATTAACTATAAAAATAGTAAAAACTTATGAATACAAATTGTCGCATAAGCAACGATACAACAAACAAAAAATTAGAAAATACGAAATTTGCAAATTAGAAAGGTAAACAATATTGGAAAAGAACTAACAGACTAAAATGAAAGAAGATATCATATAAAGCCATATTTATGAAAACGTTTATACAGAAAACCAGCGGTATATAAAAAAATAGTAAAAACATTATAAACAGTTAAGAATCAAAAGATAAAAACTGGACAAACGGATATGTGACAATCAATCAACAGACAGACGGTCGCAAGAACGAAAAAATATACACACACGCAAATACAAAATGAGCAGTCGAACTGGTGAGTCAAAATGTGTTATGTTATTAAAGAGTAGAAAAACGAGTAGCAACACACAAGACTGATTGAATTATCAAAACGTTTGAGACCGATCAAACAAAATAAACAAGAAAGAAAAGTTTAATTAAAAAACAGTCAATCAAACAAACCGTTGCAAAAACAAAATAGATAATTAAAATTGTATCGATCCACACGCAATCAAATAAAAAAGGCTAAAATTAATTTAGAGGCAAATTGAAGTACAGAGAATAGCTTCGATAAAAATAAGACTAAAATACAAAATGATAATTTGAACGAACCGCCGAATAAAATACATAAACAAATAAAAAATATAAGGAGAGATTGCATAAACAAACAAAAAATGTAAAGACAAACGAATGAATATTGTACACAATAATCATTTCTGTAAATGGTCAATTACACAGCTCAGAGCCAGAATATCTGAAATAAGTAGTTACAAGTATTTAATGAAAATCGTAACTTCCAGTATATTACAAACTCTTTAGTGCGTTGTACGTAAATGTCTGTTTTTTACAATCGAAATTCACCATTCTGAGAAAAAAGGCGAAGCTTTCAAGTTAAATTCTCCGTTGTAAACTCAAAACAGGTTGGAATTAACGAGTCAAGCCTTATAATGTAAAATAACTTTCAAACTTGTTTGCAAAAAGCAAACTTGGGAAGGCTGGCGAATTCCTTACCGTTCGGAACAAACAGCTCATAACATCCTGGGTGGTGTATTATAGTGTAACAAAGTAAAGGCAATGGATCTTTCAAACAGTGTGTTTACAACATAAATACGACTTATTAGAGCGCATGGTTTAAATAATAGACTCGTTAATTAATTAAGAATCGCTGTTAAGTAGTGAAAATGCAACATTTTTTATGTAAAAATTGCGGAAACACGTTTAAAATGAAGTTTACGCATAAGC